CTGAGATATAAACCGAAAAGAAAAGTTTCTAGTTAACATGACTGCAGTTGTGATGACGATGATAATAGGGGTGATTTTCAAGAGGCACAACTGTTCAATAATCTCAAACACATGGTCAATTTGTAAACATAACTGAATATAAGAATATTTCTAAGCGCGTGTTCACTATTCACTCGTGTACATCATTTACAAGATGATATTCCAAACCGAAAGTTGAAGTGGTAATGTAGATACTCTTTGTCTTGACAATCCTAAATTTGTGTGCTTCGCTTCTTTGATGTGTAGCAAAAATAAATAAGAGCCTATCTATCTATCTATCCATCTTTAATGATTGACTGAGAGGAGCAGCTGTATACTGCTCGCATCAACAAGGGGTGCTTGTTAACCAGATCGAAGGGTTTTTAAAAACCGGATGGTCATTTTGCTTTTTCCAGCGAGCTGATCAAGCGCATTGTGATCTGGATAATTTCGGTTTGCCAAAGGAAACTGTAATGAAATTTCACTTCGAACTGTGTAAATTGTGAATTTGATTTAACAGCCTGGGAGTACTGGACAGCTGTTTCTACCTAGTTTGGAACTGATTGGCAGCACGCACCCACCGTCGAGGTTCGAATCCAGGACCTTCTGGTTACAAGATGAGCTCACTGGTGACTGGCCGTTTTCAAGTAGGTATTTACTTAGGTCATAGTGGGAAGTCGTGACCAGTGGGGTACACCAGGTCGGGTGTGAGAACAAATCCTGGCTAGTGACATTCGCTAGTGGTGGCGCTATATAGTGAATCGGCAGAAGCTGGAATTCATGGGCTTTCTGTTGGGTCGGGTCCTAGTGGCCTAATGGTCTACGAGCTCACTAGCCTTGTAACCAGAAGATCCTGGGTCCCAACCCTGACGGTAGATGCGTACTGATGAAGAGTCCCAAACTAAACTGACGAAACAGCTGTCCAGTAATCCCAGCCGGTTTTTCAATGGTCCTCTAACCAATGTTAGTTCATGATGGAATCCTGAAACCAGCCAAATCCCTGCAAACGAAAACTTATATACAAAACCTAGCTAGGTCAATTTTTTAAAATTTTTCTTTATTTTTTGATTACAGCTTGATTCCATACTGTATTTTTGGCACAAGTATGAAATTTTCAGCATGTGATATCGGTAGCCAAATTCTCCAGGCCGACCATAGATATCAGGTGTGCGTCGGTAGGGGATCGAACCTCGGACCATGTGCATGGTCGGCGAGAGTCCTAATCACTGTGCCACCGACGTACAGTATTGTTCACTTCAAAACACATTTGCAATTTTTTTCGTCTTGGTAACAGTATTCGTCATAGATGGCTTGCTCTCATAAAATTATTGTGTTAAATGGAGAATAGTCGGTATTGTGTTAGGTATTTTACTTGGCTACGCCTAATATGTTGACGTGTTAGTGTTGTGCAATAAGAAATATAAAATTCCGATTTTACAAGGTAAACTTGCTAATTTTTTTAATTGAATTTTTTTTTATTTTCCCGTCGGTTGATTGGACCGAAGTGCTCGGTTTCAGGTTGACATGTCGGCTTCTTGTGCAGATGCTTCACAAGAAGCCGACATGTCAACCTGAAACCGAGCACTTCGGTCCAATCAATCGACGGGAAAATCAAAAAAATTAAATTAATATGACCCGTTGCACAAGAGCTGGCTCTTGTGGCCCAAGTGGTCTAGTGGATAACGCTTTGGCGTTTGAAACTATGGGCACTGGGTTCGAGCCTCGGTGGGAACATCATCACTCACTCAGAAATGCAGGTACACCCAGATGACGAGTCCCAAATAGGACGAAAAGCGCATCCTGGATTCCACCGCTAGTCACCATCCACCAACTAAATTACTAATTTGTTGTTGAATTCTTGATTAATATACATAATCACTATTTTGTTATAGTTATGTTTTTTAGCTAGATAATTTAATTATGAAGATTCCATTGTCTTTCAATATCTTCAGTGCTAACTTTAATATGAAGTGAACTTTTAGATTTCTTCATGGGTGTAGTAACTGTCTCTCTTGATGACCTTGAATGTGACTGGTTGCGTCTGGAGACCTTCTTATCCTCTTGTTTATTTGTATGTTCATATTGATTATTATGTTGACCTTTTGTCTGTGTGACTTCTTTTTCCTTGCTTGATATATATCTGATCTATATCAACATGTCTGACATTCCTCCGTCTACCATTCATACATTTTCCCAGTCGAATAACAATATCCGAAGTTATCTGTATGCACTGATTTGAACGAATGCGTATGTGTCTTTCGAGGTTCTGAGCTTCGCAGTTAAACGAAAAACTACTGAAATCAACCACATCATATCAAATGTATTCATACATGAATTTGTAACTTGTTTTTACATAACATTTACTCCATGCTGTTTTTTTATTCCAGTTCTCAGCATATTCAGGATAGGCATTGGATCTTTTTTGATCACCAGTATTTGGCGTTGATTTCATGAACAAAGATTCAGTGATTCACCTCTCTTTCCACCTAACTATATTAATAATAATTGCTCCCATAGGTTCCATTCCATTCTATTTTCTTCAGTCGTCTTAAGCTAGCTCCACAATTGACCATAAACTCTCATCTCTTCCAAGTCACCCTTGGACGTACCCAACCTGTCGTTTCTCATTGGGTTCCACTCGAGAGTCTGCTTGGTGTGTGTGATTTCACTCAACCATCTCCTCAACATGTGTCCGATCAATCTCCATTTCCTTCTACATATTCTGACGATCAATAGGCGGCTCCCGCATGGTTCGTCACCAGAGTTTCTTGTTGCTAATTACTTCTGACCGACTATCTGATCCTCAGTATAGATCAGAAACAGCTTTTGTTAAAAGTTTAAAGCCTTTTCAAAACGCCAAGTCTCTGAACCATAATAGAACTACTGACATTGGTGTTGAAAAATCTTAACCATGTTCTTTATGCTGAGTGCAGTAGATTTCCAGAGTGATTTCGGATTACTGAAGGTCTTTCTTACTTCTTTTTTTATCCTGGCTCTGGTATATTCATCCGTGTCATCTGTAGTTTAACGTCTTTCAGATTTCTTCCGCTGATAGTGATTAGTGCTTGTTGTTGCTAGTTAGGCATCTTCATCAGCTCCATCTTCTTTATCTTTATACTTAAAGTTACTGTCTTCAGTGCTTGCTACATCTTCCAATGTGTCAGTTTTCTCCTGTAGATCTTCCAGTGTATGTGACATTAGATATAAGTCGTCTGAGAAGCACAAATCTTCTATAGTCTTCTTGTCAGTCTAACGTTGTTCTCTGTCTTTTTGCTCCCCATGGCCTGTCATATGATGAATGCATTGCAATGATCGAGTTTTTTTTCTAGATTATTTAACTTAGCAGAGTTAATCGTTGTAGCTCCAGCTAAATTTCTTTGTTCCGATGGTCTAACTGACCCTAGATCTACTAGTTCGACCTATGTAACTGACCTCACAGTCTGTACATGGCGTTTGGTGAAGTATATTATTTTTTCTTAATTAAAACTGTCGAGTCATTTAAGCTAAGATAGTTTGTCTATGAGTAAGTTTGTAGGTTTAAATGCGCTACCCTAATTCCAGCCTCATTAAGGATCCAACGTAGGGCTTCTCATGTCCCTTCTTTATACATAGCAGTACACCGTCGAAGCTTTGAATTCTTTAATATTTATATTATTTTCATGATTTGCCCTTACTAGACTTATTTTCTTTATGGGTCTTCATACATTTCTGAATAAAATCAAGTTGGTAGTTATTCGCTATCCATATTTTATTTCAGGATTTCATCAGGAACTGACAACGGTTAGAGGACCATTGGGAGTACTGGACAGCTGTTTCGTCCTAATCGTAGAGCCATATCATGAATTGGCAGAATTTGGAATTCATGGGCTTTCCATTCGATCGGGTCCCAGTGGCTTAATAGTCCTGGGTTCGGATGCGTACGGCTAAAGTATCCCAATCTAGGACAAAACAGGTGTGCGGTACTCCCAGGTTTTCCAACTGTCCTCTTACTGATTTCAATTCATGATGAAATCTTGAAACCGATCAAATCCCTAGAAACCAACACTTGGAAATCAAATTATACCTTCTATTGGAAATATATTTGATGAGTCCCAAGAAGCATTTGATTAGTGAATAACGGATCCGTCGGAGAGGGAAGCTGAAAAACACAGAATAACTGGTCTTTTCCGAAGGTTGGAATTTCAAAGATAGATTAAGGCATAGAATCAAAGAATACAAATTGATCTGAGAACATTAAGATCTTTTTAACTATTATGTAACTTTCATTGCTAAAGGTTAATAGTAATGTAAATCGGGTTGGCTGCTGTAGTTAAACTTTGCCCCATGACTATAAAGGCTAAACGTTATCTACCAGATCCAATGACCTGCATTCTATTGCTGGCTACTACTACTACTACTACTAATGAACAAATACATTCAAGAATGTTGTTAATCATACCGCTTTTACTATTGCATCGGTCGTTCAAAGGCAGAATGCTTGCCAACCATTCACATGGTCCCAGTTTCGACTCTCGGTCGATGCACTCCTAAACCCCATTAAGCTGATAATAAGCTCGGTAAAGAGGAGAGGTCGTACGTGAAGTTAGTAATACTACCCTATAAAATATTTAAAAAATTACTGCTACTGAAACGAAACTTCAAAGGTCAAGCCTGAAGCCCTAATGTTCCACTCGGAACGCAAAAAGGAATAAAATAAAATAATACCTATTTCCTAAATAAATATTAATTATAAACCATCATTCCATTGTAAAAATAGCACACACGCTCACACACACAAATAGACAAACAAACAGGAAAACTTTACAGAACGGATATACGCCTATTTTCTCTATCTAATATTCCTATTGACAACATTCCCCCACACACCCCCCCCGCCTACACACCTTTAGCATCACACAATATGCAATCACATAAACACTAATTGAATGACATAGTACAAATAAGTCTACGCTTCAATAGAGTTTTAGAGAAAGAAGAGGTGATGAAACAAAAACAGATCATATAATTAAACAGATATATATATATATATTGAATGTATGTATATATATGCATATGTACAAATTGTTTTATTTGCCTTGTTTTACTTTTTCATACAAACTGTGATAATATAACAAACAAACAAACATGGGAGATATATATTGATTCTCAATCAGTTATCTTCATCAAAAAGACAGTAAGACGGTAATCTCTTATGATGATGAATGCTCAATGATAGATATACAATCTTAGATAGAAGAATGCAGTAAAAGACTGAATACATCTCAAGAATAGGGAAGAAACGAGGCATACACAGAAATATATAATCAATATAAGTTCAGCAATAATTCTCAGAGTTAAATAAACTCAAAAATAAGTAGTATATATATATATGTATATTTGAATGTTTTCGTTGTGATTTCAAAATTCAAACGAAAAAAGGAAGTAGAAGTATTAGTAGTAACATAGAAAGTTGAACATAACGGAAGACAGTAGTAATAAAAAAAGATTTACAGTTATCAGCTTTTTTTCCCTTATTAAGTGCCTTCACACGATTAAAAACAGAAAGGCAAGACAAAACGAAGATACGATAGGATAGGATAGAATGAAACGGAGAAGAAACCTGAAAATTATTCATACATTGTTTGTTTTTTGTTTTCCTTCACGCGTTCCCAGTGGAGCATAGGGCTTCAAACTGGAGGCTTGAAGTTTCTGTAGCGGTGGTGTTTATTTTTACAGGATGAGGTTGCTAGTCTCATGCCTAACCTTTCCTCTTTACCAGTTTTATTACTGGCTTAGCGAGGTAAAGGAGGAGTGCGTCGGTGGCCGGGGAATCGATTCCCGGACCATGTACATGGTCGGCAAGCGTGTTAACCGCTATGCCACCGACGTGTATCTGTATGAAATTAAGATAAGAGAAAGAAGTTTATAAAAGCATCCAAGACTATTATGGAATGTGTAAGAAAAGAGACCTTGGTATAAACAGGAAAAAAATAATAACAATAAGAATAGGTAGTTGAAGATGTGATATTCTATATAATCGAAATTGATTTATTCACCTAAATCATTCATTCATTCACCCATTCATTAGGGTGGTATTGGTGATAAAGTTGGCATTGGACGAGTATCTGTTGATGAACGACTTCGTAAAAAACTCCATTTTTTGTATGAAGTTGATATACTAGGCGGTGATACTGGAACTGATGTTGCTGTTGCTGGTGTTGTTGTTATTGGTGTTATACTGGTCATCGAACTAGTAGTAGTAATAATCTGACTATGACGATGTGATGGTGAATGCATAACACCATCGATTAATTCATTTGGTCTTGGTGTTGTATACCATCGACCACTTGGTGGTAATAGATAAGCACAATGTTTTATTAATAATTCAATTAATGCATGTTCAAATAGTGTACCAGCTAAACAACTTATAGGATCTGTATACGATGAACTTAATAATGTTGGGGATAAAACAATAGCTAAGTTAGCAGTAGTCATCATATTGATTTCTTGCTTTTCAGCTACCCTAAAAAATAAAAAAAGAAGTAATAAAATAAATAGACTAAAGTAAATATAAGTTATGCTAAAAGTAGTAGTTACATATACTACAACCTTATGGACTTCAGAGAACATTCTAGCATTGCTGATGGAATAGAAATATTGTAAGACGAACATAGTGTGGTGAGAGCTGGCTGTTAGTCAAAACCGGTGGACAGTAATTTACGTCAATCTTTATGTCCCCAATATTGGTCGTGAGAAAATGAGAACAAAGGCTTTGCGTGGGCGGATACAATAAGCATATAGATGACCTTACATTCAAGAAACAGCCACAAAGAGATGCAAGGCTAACTTTCTGTGAGAAACAACCAATCAGAAGACCGTGTTTTTCTGCTAACAATAATCTATAATAATGTACATAAAAATCTATAAATATGTGTTGATTTCTTTAATAAACAATCTGTTGACTGGCTCTTGTCTTCTGTTGTTACAACAGTATTAGCAACTAGGGAAAAAAGAATCGACTAGGAAGATTTATTCACCTGTTGCTGTGGTGCCAAGTGCATTAATCGTTCGACGCCTATCCTGTCTAAAGGGGTTAAAGAACACAACCCTTTGCGGCTACAGAAAGGTAGTAATGGCTCTCTATAAGGAGTGCGATAATCGAATACCTAGTCAGCACTGATCATTCCATCTCAACAAATGTGTCCTTCAAAGCAAGACCAAACTGCTAAGGCAATACGCTTTCGTCTCATTTGCATTACTGAAGCTCTAGCCAATCAGACAGCAAAACCGGAGCTAAGCAAACAAATTATTATTATTATTCAACTACTTCTACTATCATGGTAACAAACTTGTTGGTTTCTACTGGCTCCATTTTTGTATGTTTTTCTAACTCTCTCTAACTCTTGTATTTCTTTAGAACTCTAACATATAATTACATGTTTTTCTTCGTTTCGATGTGAATTCTGTTTACAACTCATTCGTTAAATTATTCGACTCTAATACACTTATTCAACTCCTTTTATGCATTGACTATGTTTGTGATAACTCATGACTTTCGTTACTACCCTATTTCATGTATATAAGTGCGATTGTACAGCTACAAGAAAAAATGAATTCGCCAAAAAGAGCCTCTTCGCTGAACTAGTTGTCTTTTGTTTTTTTATAATTATTTGGATGGGAATTTCTCATGAAAAGTATTATACATAATAAACATACACCGTCAAATGAAATCTGTACTTTGTAAAAACACACATGGTAAACAGACGATTTATAAAGAACAAATATGGGAATGAAGCATAGTTATGAAAAGCCCCTACCCCACCCCACCCCCAAAAAATACATCAATTCCATTTCATTTCATTCGTCTGAAATCAAACTAGAAATCTGCTGCACTACTCAACATAACGAACAAGATTTGCTTTGGATTTCATTTACACTAACGAGACAGTTGAGTATCATTACGCACCCAGTCCTAGAGTGGAACGAGAATTGGAAACAGCAAGTTGAGTGTCCGAAAATGACATGTAGGGGGGGGGTCGTGTAGTTTTATACTACGCGACTGCAATGAAGGTATAAATTCAAATGACTAATTAGTATCCAATCAACAGTATCTAATACAGTCCTACAGGAGGTCAATCACGAGCCCGAATAGCTCAGTGGTAATGTCTCTGACTGCAGAACTGGGTGACGCGGGTTCGAATCTCAAAAGGGATATGATTTCCTTCAAGATTGCAGATACGCTTTGCTGACAAGTGCCAACTAGCACAAAACCTAGGTAAAGCAAGGGCTTCCTACCGATCGCCTCCAACCATCTAATATCATCAAAACAATGTGCATCGTGATAGCGAGCTACCTAGAATGGTGGCCAAATAGCGAACCTGACTGATAGAATTCAGTCTGCACCAAAGAAAGGACTAGACACGTCACACTAGTTACTAACTAGTGTCCAGTCAAAAGTACCTAATCATATACCTACTTAGTATTTATGGAAAACCGCTGCTTAGTTCTCATCATTAACTCATAAAAGTCGATATCTCTGTCTGGTCTACTGACGATTAGATAGTCTCGAATGATATCATATGTTATCATGTGAGATGGGTGTAACGGGTACTCTACTCTAGTTAAATATACTTTTGGTTGATGACATAGAAGATGATGAAACACTTAAATGTCTACTTGAATCGTACAGACTGTATTACTAGGTGCATATTATCTTAATATATTGATTGAAGCAGAGTAGATCCATTCACTACTTGCATTGTGCTAATATATAACTATGCCATGTGTCAGATAACTTGTTTTTTTTGACTTTCCTGTTTTTGTTAATGATTACATTGTATTTCTACCAGCCAGGTAAAACTGAATAACATCAGTCCCGCGACTTTTAAATTTTCTCACAAAAATAGGAAACAAACGTCAAAGAATAAACAAAATGTTATAGAATCTGGAGTGTGATATAGGAGTACTTCTAGCGATGAAAATATAAAATGGACACGTAATAAAAATAATAAACATCCCTGAATATAAAACGTATGTGTCAAGACTTCATTTGATTAATTCCTAATTCTATGCTCGTGAATCTATATTATACACTTCTACAAAATAAATCTACTTGACTTAACTGTATTTCTGAAAATATCTTATTCCAAAGTCTGCTTTAAACAAATAAGGTTAAGTAAGATGAAACTCCTTGTTTTAGGCACTTGACTTTCAGCCACTACCTTCTTTTATATTCCTTTGGCGTTCCCATTGAAACACAGGGCTTTAGGCTTCAGCTTAGAAGTTTGAGTCTCAGTATGGTCACTAACCTCACACCCAACCTCTCCTTTTAGTATCATTTAAGGGAGATTTAGGAGTTTGTCAGTCTGGAATGGAACCCGCACCACATTCTACTAATGAACCACCGATACCCTTAGCTAACAGTCACCAGGTTCGAATGCCCCTCCACCTACTTCAGCCTGGGTAACTGAAACGTCATATGATAAGTATGGCTCATAGCCTGTCTAGTACATGAGAAATCTCTTCTGGGGAGCTGACAACATCAATTTTGTCAATTAGGTAACTGCTTATAATTACCCTGTAATCATCACATACTATCTAAAAAGAGACTAAACCATGTATCAAATAAACAGATATCCTAAATAACTAACGACAAATAATCCTTATCTAAGTCTTTCCATGTCTGTCTGTCTGTCTGTTTTCGACATAGAACTTTGCACAAATGTGCGCCAGTTCAAGTCGCCACACTCCGTGTAGCACGCGAAGCAAGAGAAGAAAGTACAAGAAAAGCATAATAGAGACAGTAAGCAGAGGTGTGAGACAAAGGAGTAATAAAAAAAAACAGTTTCATTGGAGATCATAAGTCACAAGGAGTGGATGCATCTGCGCCACTGAGAACGATTTTGAGCCATGTCACCAATTGTTTCCAACCATAGATTTTTACCGTCCCGAGGACCCCAGCCTGGAAGTCTACACCTTCCTACGTGACTTAGACTAACTGTTGTGGATTTCATTGACTGGTGAGGCCAAGTTTTTGTTTGACCGCCGCTAGCTTTTTTCCAGCCTGACCCTATATCCGCTAACATTGCTCGTCGAGGGAGGCGATGACCAGGTATACGTAACACATGTCCTAACCATCTCAGTCTTTGTAACTTCACGACTTCGTCGATTGATTTCCCCTGTTTACCTGGAACTCGACAGCCTAACCTCAATGTTGCTCACCTTATTATGCCACTTTACACGGGAAATAGAGCGCAGGCACCTATGATCAAAGACAGCTAGCCTTTTCATGTCTTCCACTCTCAGTGGCCAGGTCTCACAGCTGGCCATAAAGGAGGACGGAGCGGACTGATGAGCAGTACACCCGCCCTTTGGTCGATAGTCGAACATCTCGTCTACGCCAGAGTCGGCGTAAACTGGCAAATGCGAAACGAGCCCCCTGTATTCGTGCTGAGATTTCGTCGTAGATCAACCCGTTGGCGTTGGCTGATGGTACTTCCCAAATAAGTGAAGCGGTCAACGTGCTCTACCACTTCACTTCCTATTTTTAAACTAGGCGTCGATGTAGTCCAGTCCTGTAACATCATCTTGCATTTGGCGGGAGCAAATCGCATGCCAAACATTCGTAGACTGCAGCTCAAGGTGTTCAGAAGACTCTGCATTTCGTCAGCGTCTTCGCCTAGAAGGACTATATCGTCTGCATATTCCAAGTCAACGAGATTATTCCTTGGTAGCAAGTCAATTTCTGAGTCGCTGAAGTCACCTAGGGTTAAGTCCATTAACACATCTATGATGAAGTTGAATAGAAAAGGGGATAATGGGCATCCTTGACGGACACCACTGGTCGTCACCAGTTCAGATGACAGCTCGCCGTAAGCCCTCACCTGGCTGTATGAGTACGAGTAGAGTGCCTTAATCAGTGCAATATATTTTCTCGGAATTCCCTTTACAGCCAAGCATCTCCAGAGAACTTCTCGATCGACAGAGTCGAATGCTGCCTTTAGGTCAAGAAATATAATGTCTGTGTATACTACGCTGTAGATGAGTTGTTAATATAAAGCACAAGTTACTACATGTAACGGAAAACTACAAAATAAGGGTACGTCATCAACAAAAGTGCATTACAAAAGGACATCCAAATAAAAACAAGAAAGAAAACAAAACTAGATATAAGGTATAAATATCAAAGGTAATGAGATTTCATATATTTTCCTACCTGTGTATATGATTGATAAAGTAACGTAAACTTTCATAATGAGCGCCTGGTAATCGAGAAAACACCTTTTTCAATAGATCAAGCTTTTCTTGTTCCACCAGTCGGTCATTACCTACAAGTAAAAATGCACAAAAACATATAACATACATTTATCAATGTAAGTTGTATTCATACAGCTTTAATGAATCGATGATTCAGCGATACGAAATCCCGCAAACCACACGCGTGATCCAAGGTTCGATTCCCGATCGACTCGCTCCTATAACCTCGCTCAGTCGGTAGTAAACTTAATAAAAAGGGAAGTTGGGCTTAGGTTTGCAATCTCACCTCGTAAAAAGAAAACACTACCGCTACTGAAGCATCAAAACTCAAGCTCAGAGACATGTGTTCTACTGAGAACACAAACGAATGAAGAAAAATATCGGAAAAGATAAAAACGATGTGAAAAAGACATGCTTAGAAAGGAGGAAGTTGTCATTAACCCAACAGTAAGCCAAAAAATGCATAAAAATAACATATTTTGCGGCAATGAAATGAATTTCTAATGTAGAACGTTCGCACAAAAGTGGAACAGTTCAGGTTACGACACTTTCTAGGGGCGAACACAAAGATTGAGAGGAAAAAAATAAAAAGGCAAAGAACCATAATAAACCGAAATAAATAAGAGAAAGAATAATTATGTGGAGAATAGTGGAGTCAGCACTGGTTTCTATGAGATATCTATTCTGAATGATTTTAGTATTCTAGCTACAGAATCCGAAACCGACTTAGAATTCACCTCAACTTCAAAAAATTTGTGATGCAGTCTGACCAGTAATCTAGTGCATTCTCCCTTCACTTTAGCCCCTCCTATGATTACTATTACTATTGTTCCCTTTGATTCTGAGTGGAACATAGGGCTTCAACAACACATCTCCACTTTTTCCTATTTTTTGCCTTCCTCTTCAGCTGGGCTCACGGTTTCCCATAATCTCTCATCTTCTCCACATGTCACCGTCGTACAGACAACCCACTCGTCACTTCCCATTCGGGTTCCACTAAAGCAATGGCCTGGCCCTATCCATCTCGATTTTCTCCTACATATTTATCAAGCGATCGGCTGTTGGTTAGTTTGTTCTCACAGCTTCTTGTTGCTTATTCTTTCTGGCCATTCTTACCCGCCTCCTACTAATATACTAAATCAACCAATAAACGAAGACATCCACATACATAAAATTTGACCGTAAAAGCTTTTCAGTTTCTTCTTGGCAATCCAGCTATTGTCATTGATGATGATGATAATAACAATAACGTTACTAATTCTCAGTATCAAACAATTATACTATTTGACAACGGAATCAATGAATGAATGAATATAATTGTCAGAAATGAAGTTAGAAAATTGAATCACTATAAATACGTTGTCAGAATAGCATAACTGTTTGACAGTTAGTTATATAAGTGGTTGTTTCACTGTAACAATAACTATATGTGAATATGATTTCAGTAGCCAACAAAATGTCTATTAATAAACTGACTGATCCAGTATAAGAGAATAAAAGTGCTGTTTTAATAATTAACAAATCATTTAGAGCTGGTGATATTGAATGTTTAATTAGGCACGTTCATCATTGTATTTCTGAACAACATTATATCCTACATGGTTAAGCAAGAGGACACAGAAAAGGTTTATTCATAGCTGTGTTTAAGCTAAAGTTGATGTTAACAGTAATGTAAGTGTAGAACTTGGGCACTGTGCGTCGGTGGCACAGTGATTAGGACTCTCGCCGACCATGCACATGGCCCGAGGTCCGATCCCCTGCCGACGAAGCACACCTGATATCTATGGTCGGCCGGCAAAATTTGGGTTATCGATATCCATGCTGAAAATTCCATACTTGTACCAAAAAATACAGTGTGGAATCAAGCTGTAATCAAAAATAAAAAGTAAAATAAAATAAGCTAAAGTTGATGTTAACAGTAATGTAAGTGTAGAACTTGAGCACTGTGGTAGAATGTAATTCCATATCAGATAAGTTTATCTTAGATATCACATAGTGATGCAGTGTTAACAATTGGATTTGGAGTATAAATTATTGCCCGTCATAATTATATCAATTTTAGTCACACAATTTCAAAATTTGTCTTTATATATTTCCTTTCTTTCTGTCTCTCCAACTTCCCTTTGTTGTTTGTTGCCACTTTCCATATCTCCCCTATAAGCGTTGCGTTGCGTCATTCCGATTGCGCATGTACAGTGTTGAATTGATAAACACAGCTTCAGTGATTAACCTCTTTGTCTCTCCACCCAACTATATTACTTCTTAATACGCTTACCCTGTCCCACTCTACTTTGTGATTATGTGAAAGTGGATACAATGCAATGGGTGAGCTTTTTTCTAGGTTATATAACTTATTAAGGTTAATCACTTTAGGTCTAGCTACATTTTCATATTCCAGTCATCTAAATGACCCCAATTAACCACCAGTTTGACTGACCTATGTAACTGATCTCACAGTCAACACTACATGGTATTTGATAAATTTATATTACTTTTCTTAATTGGATCTACTTGGTTCTTAAACCGACAAAGTTTATCCCTGAGAGTTTTGGTTGGTTTAAATGCCACCCTAATTGTAGCGTCATTAAGAATTCTACCAGAGGCCTCTGACATCCCTTCTTTATACGAAAGCACTACAGATGCGTTAAATTCTATATTATTTTCGTCATTTTTTGTTGCTAATCTCAGTTTTCCTATGGTTCTTCATACATTTCTGGATAAATTCTGGTGGGTAGTTATTCACTGGCAATATTTCTTTCATTTGTTTGATTTTATCAATTAAATCTTCCGGCTTACTAGTTAGGCTCTTGGCCCGGTTATATAGACATTTCACTAAACCTATCTTTACCGACTCTGGATGGAATGTTGATGTTAGCAAGGAACTAAATATTATCTAACCTATTCCGAATAATCTTAAATTTTCGCCTTACAATATGTCTTCTATACATATAGCTGAAGCTGTTAACGTTGTCCAGAAGGAATTCATGCGTACAGCCACTTTCTTTACTTCGAACTATTACTATTTGACTGTAAAATTCTAACAGTTTCAACCCATTCCCCTAAGCCTATTCCAAGTTATTATTGTTGTTTTAACGATTTTTATTTGTTGAGTGAAATTTTCTGCTTAATTTTACTTGATATTCAATTTAGTACTACATTTGTTTTGCTTCTAATTACCACTTACACATACTACTGAATTGTATTTCTACTGTCCTTAACACCTCGATATTAAAACAATTAGTTCCTTTTATGAATTTAGACGAAGCAATAAGACGACGTAATTTGTCTGAATTGTGTAGTGTTGTATTTGCGCAACACATTTCGAACAATCTGATCACACACGAACTTTTCATAGGAACATATATAAAATTAATAGAGTTAAGAGGTGAGAAGATAGACTTAGGTCAAGTTAGGCAGACATATTGAAGGTCAAAATGACAATGAAGAGGTAATAATACATCTACCCTGACTGGTATCGAAACAAAGTTTACCAAGGAAGGTCTAGTATGATGACCAATTGTTTTTGAACGCATAAAGGTGGTTTAAACTTTCTAAATACCAGCTAGGGCTTCCACAAACTTTACGATACACCCCAAACACATTTTTTTAATAATAATAATAATAATAACAGCTTTATTCCAAACAGTATTTGTGGTACAGGTATGGAATTTTCAGCGTGCATTACAGTATATTGCATCTAATTACCTCATAAATTATATAAGATTTTTAAAAATCAAAAATACATAAAAATAAAATAAATAAGTTATAAATAAATAAATATTGAAAATTAAGAAAAAAAACAGCGTAGAGTATTTCATTTCAAACAATGCACCACAGGATTTGGAATATAAGGTTAATGTGTGGTTGTAGATGAGAACAACAGTGTAGTAGTAACGAGGAAAGGAAAACAAAAACTAATGGGACTATTTGTTAGAGTGCCGCAGTAAGTTTATCGTGTCATACCTAACGGATTTCTCATCACATAACAGCTGTGCCAGATATGGTATTGTGGAGTTTTTGTATTTGGTAGTCCTAGCATATAGCCTCCTATAGCTGCTTCTAGTTCTTCCAGATGAAATGCAAGGAGATAGATGCGTATAGAGAGGATGCTCGGGGTCCGACAATATTGTATTCGCTAGTTTCTTACATGACATTATATGTCTATCTACAATAGTGTTCACCAGTTGGTCTAACGATATCCCACTTGCCCTACTAACAGCTTTTAGTGCCCTTCTCAGCGAAGCAAGTCTTTCTTAAGTAGTCAGGAAAGACTAATGGGGAGCAGTAAAGGAGGATGGGTAGAATACAAGAATTTACAAATGAGAAAGCAAAGACTGCTTTATGCCAGACTGCCTAAATTTCCTAATGTAGAACGTTAAGCGAAACATCTTTCTAGTAACTAGCAAGATGTGGGAAGACCAGGAAAGATCGGTGGAAAAACTCAGCCCAAGGAACTTCACATTAGATGTATTTTCAACCTCTGTGCCGTCAATGAGAGTGGGGCCATGTGAGCTAACTAGTTGCTGTAGGTCACATTTACGTCTGAAGTGAAATTGACTACCTGACATTTAGACGGATTAAGCTTAAGTCCGTTTGAAGAGGACCACTGACTAATTTCCGACAGAAAGCTATTTAATTTGGAGCAATCTGACTGACAGTTGACAGGCATAGAGACCGAGAGGTCATCGGCATACTTAACAAAAGTGGCTACATCAGAATGTGGCAAGTCATGTAGGAAAAACGAAAACAGAAAGGGAGAGAGAACAGCGCCTTGAGGAACGCCTGCTAAAGTAAGTGAGGTAGTGGAGGATTTTCATTGTAGACGGTGTACTGCTTCCTTTCAGAAAATAGGACTGCAACCACTTATTTGTCCAGCTTTCAGCCTGTGTTGCAGCGAGATAGATTTAAAAGATGTGTGAGCGTCAGTTTTATGTCGTGTTTCCTCTATAATATGTTTCGCAATAGAGGAACCAGGTCTCCTGTTCTCACTACTAATGGGTTCTGAAGATTTTATTTGCTTGTGGAACTATTTAGAAATATGCTCTGAAGCCCTTACTTTCAGAGATTGGTG